TGAAATTCAAAAACCATACCGAAATTCAAAACTTAAACCGAAATCCAAACCTAAACCAAAAGTCAAACTGTGAATACATTTAACTAATTCTTTTTCTCAAAAATGATATCAAAAGATCATAAATCCTGGTTTTTTCTAGCCTATTTTCTAATGATTTTTTCTTATTAATCTTATTATTAACCGGTTTCTTTTCATTTTGGTTTTCATTATCTGCATTACTATCATTATAATCATTTGTTCTATTTCACAATATTCATAATCATCTGTATCTCCACAAGTTGCTGGTTAATCTTGGTATTAATATTAGTCACTTCTAAAGCTCTAAACGAGCTGAGCCGAGCTTATGCTTAGCTCGAGCTCGAGCTCGACTTGACGCGAATATGCGAATTTGAGCCAGCCGCATATAAAAAGTGTTGACTTGAACTCGGCTCGAGCTCAAAAACTTGAGCCTACTCAAAATTTAATATTATTTTTTATAAATTCACAATTTTGCGGACCATTGAAAATTATTTGAAGCAATGATAAACTATAACAAATTGCATGACATGCTTGAGTCTTAGAACATTTAGATTATCATAAATGATTTTACGATAGACTAAAAAATTCCGAAAATTCCAAATGAAAACAATTCTATGTTTTAATATTCTGGAACATATACATAAGCATTTAAAATTCGTTATACTAAAAATTACTAACCACGTTTATGCTTTTAAAAATTCATAGTAATGTTGTACGTGAAAATGAAATTATGTGAATTCGCAATTTACATGTGTGAAATTCAAATTAGCCAATCAGAATTTCACCCCACTCCATAATATTTCAATTTCACATACAACAGTAACATAAATTTAATTAATGTTTGCTTAGATATTTGTAGAAAATTAAAAACGAAATGCAACCGTTTAAAAAATCTTTGTTATTATTGAATTGAGCTAGACTTCCTATTCGTAATACAAATTCTTATACGAATTATTCGTTTTATTAGTTTATTCGAATTATTTTATTCGTATATTTATATAGTCATTCATTTATTAATTTTATTAATAGTTGGCAAACTATATAGGAGAGTTTTTATTTGAAAATGTTTTTTGGGATGAGCCTTTAAGAAAATATTGGCTGAAAAATTTTCAATTTACATTACATATGTAAATAAAATTTCTAATCTTCACCTACTTTTCACTCTCTATAATAAACAAATTACATGTAGAGTGGGCGGTTGAGTGAATTGTATTTGGATGATGAAAAATGATGACTTTTGATATGCGTTATATATATTTTTTGTAGTGAAAATTTGAAAATTATTCTTTATTAGATATATTGGTAGCCCATAATTTGTATGCACCTACTTGTAATTGTTTTAGACAATGAATGGCATTAATAAAGACTTGGTTATGCCCATGAACTGGCTACCTTTTTTTGAGGGGGGAAATTTGGGAATAACTTCAAAAAATTATTACTTTTTATTTTATATGTTGAGCTTATGTATTAAAAATCTCCAAATATATATGCTTTAAACCTCCATCTGGTTGTGAAATTTAGGCAATGACATTTGATCAAAAATTTGTTGAGTATATTTATATTTATATATACATAATAAGAGCTGCTACATGAACAAAAACATTTAGAGAAATCTTTTATAATTGTGTCATAGCAAACCTTCATCACATCGTCCTTCAGTATCACAACAAAAAAAAATATTAAAATCATCCAACCTTGCCAAAAGCAGAAAATTTTCTTATATATAGAATTTCTATTTGTAATTCAACCAATCAATAACCTTTATCTAAATAGAATGCCAGTGATAAAGCATTCATCTGGTTATGATGGTACAAACTAATCTTTGTAATTATAAAAGGTACAATTTTTGATGTAACAACTAGATGAGAAAGTTATGCATGTGGTGGAAGTTATAATATTTTTGGTGATAAAGATACTTCAAAGGTAATTTAATAATAATAATTAAAAATCTTATTATAATTGCAAGGTTGAATGAATTATATCCGTAGATTATTATTATGATTTAATTAGGCACTTGAAATGGATTCATTACAACCAGAAGATGTAATTGTAGATTATAATATTTTTGATAATAATACTAAGGTCATGAAAAGATGAAACTTTTTAAGAGATAATCACATTCTTTCTTTCATTGATTTTTGCTTGTGGTTGTAGTTGAGCAGCATTAGAGTTTTTGGTGATGTGACGGTGGTGGTGACAGATCATTTTTGTTTTTTAAAGAAAAATCTCTGCTTGACTTTTTGGACCCAATGCTTGATGATCTTGTAAGTCATCATTATTTATTATCTTCTTGATTGAATTTCAATTTATGCCGAGTATTGTAACCGATCCTAATAGTAAAAAGGAAGGACTTGATTGATATCATTGAATGCCCTCCACTCATTTTTTTTATAATTGTTTTTAATTATGATCAAAATGAATACATACTTGTTTCGAATCTTTCAAATACTTTACCATTAATCAAAATTTCTATAGCTCGTTCTTTTTTGTTGATATAAAAATCCACTATGCCATACCTCTGAAGGAAAAATATATGTACTTGATGATATGATAAACTTGCAAAATTACTTACTCTTATACATAAAAATAAAAAGTAATCAACTTGAAGTTTAAATTGGTAGGTTAAAATATTTTAAAAAATGGTATAAATAAAATAAATCTAAATTGCCAATAAATAATTCAATAATATTATATTAATTTATTTAAAAGAAAATTTATTATTATAAAACATAAAATAAATATTTGGAAGTTTAATTCAACTTAATTTTCATGATACACATGCTGTAAATATTAATCATATAAAGACATCAATATTCCAATTGATAAAAATGCCATATCCGTAAAGTCTTTTTTAAAAATTAAAGAATAAATTTAGAATAATCATTAAATTTTTTAAATAAAAAAACATTTAGAAATTTTAAATTTTTCTGACCAATTTATATACATCAACAAAAGAACCAATTGTTTATTAAATGGCCTCCTGTGAACTCCAAATTATCTTTATCTCTATAATAATAAAATAAAATTTATTAACACTAATACTATGATATATACCACGGATGATTATCACAAAATAAATAAAACATGACTTATCTTTTCTTTATTGTTTCTTTGTGCACGTTGAATATCTTTGTTCCCATCTATTGTATCATATCTATTATATACAATATTCATGATGGTTGTATGTTATTATTATTTGAATATATTAAACGTCCAAGTAATGAATACTAAAACCATGCAGGTTGAAAATAATAATAAATCTAACGTATTAAATTTGGGTGTCAGATTTAATAAAAATATCCTTTCACTTCGTTCAAGCGCCTGGGGACAATTCTCCTGGCAATGAGTACTGAGATGTCCAAGAAACTTGAAAAAAGGAGGCTTATGCCTAGAATTTTAAGTTCTTTAAATTCTTTGAAGAAAACCTTCCTGAGTTACAGGCCCTTCCCGCGAATCGCTAGAATGTCTTTTCCGTGGCTGCAACTTGATGATGGCTGGCAACCACCACCTTTGCATCATATAAAACTAATTGCAACACTCTATTTCAAAGGCGGTTGAAACACAGGAATGCAACTCTTTTTACATGAACCATGTGGCTTAAGTCATTTCGTCCACAAGGATGGAGTGTTGCCCTTTTTTGATCAAGGATGATTGAATGTTTGTATATTAAAGAGGCAACGCTTAGAATGCCATCTTAGATGTCTCCAAAATGATAAGGTATGTTGTCCGGTAACTCCATAAGGTATACTAAAAAAGATTAATACAATAAAAGTAAATAATGTATTAAAAAAAAATTAGCATCTAACATTTAAATGTACATGTTGCACATACTTGTTATTACTAATACATACAGATGGTTTTTGCAACGAGTGATATGTTTTGTTGTTCTCTTTGGGTGGATGTTCTCCAGTGGATTCCTGTCGTTATTAATGTTGATAGCGCGTAAAAAAGGATCTTTTTTTTTTTATGTGTATCAGTGAAATTATCCATTTTTTTTTTCTACATAGTTACACGAATCAGATCAACGAGGCCCATATCATATTTTAATTAACATGCGTTTTGTAAAAATTTAATTGTCATTTTTTATTAGAAACAATTATGATGTTAGTAAACTTATCAAACTTATCATTTTGAAAATAATTAAAGAGACATAAAAAAATATAATAATCCATCCTTTCCATTTTATTAAAAATACCATATTTGTTTTAGGGTCATCTGAACTCTTTGGAATCTATATTATCATCAGAGTCCGTATGAGAATTTATAATGAATTTCAGCTTAATATTTGTTTGTGTTAACAATGTTAAGTAGCTTACCGTCTCCTATTCTTTTAATGCCATGTACACTTTCAATATTATGCTCCTTTATAATGGATGCGGGTGAAACGAAGAAGAGAGCAATAATAAGTAATACTTTTTTAGTACTAAAATAGTATTAATTTGAATCATGTGATTGTTCGTTTACCTTCTATTGTGGATTTTCATAAAATTGAGAATCATCACTCTCTTCGTCGTTATAGTCAACTTCAAGACCAAGCTATTTTTCTAACTCATCCTCATTGTAGTTTTTTATAGTTCTAGTTACTTTGTAAATTTTATTTGGGTTATTTTATTGGAAATCTAATGACAAGGTAAACTGACAGGAATATTTAGGAGTTGGTGTTTAGGATATATTAATCTTGTCATTTTTTTTAGTTAACGCATTAAAATATTCATCCCGAGAACTAATATTCAAAACGTTTAATTGATAGAAGAAAATACAAATAGTTTGAAAAATCAAGTTTCACGACATTAATGTATAAAGTCACTTTTAATGCATATTATAATTTTATAGATAAATGATAAATATTAATTAATTTATTAAAAGTAATAACAATTTTTGAATTACTTCAATTCTTTGAAGTTATGTTATAAAAAAAAAAAAAATAACATGGTAAACGTGTAAATTCGTCCTTTAAAAGAATATAATACCCAAGGGAAATGTTATAATTCATCTGGAATTTCTAATCCAACTTGAGTTGTAATATAATCCGGAACCACAAGTTCAAATTGATTCGATTTATAATCTATCCATTGCTTTGTCGTTTGTTTTGCAGATAGAAAATTGGGTACAGGTTTACTATTATTAGCCTTTTCTTTTCGATTTAAAACTTCGGCCTTTTCAAGTTCTGCCAATTTATTGTTATCAAATCTCCAGTCATAAATCTCTGACACAAGATCCTTAGCAGTTGGACGGGCAGCTGGATCCTTATCTAAACATCTTCGTACCAAAGATTTATAAAACTCTGGTGTGTATTTTCCAATATCTGGCCGGGCACCATCACAGATTTGAAATGCAAGATTTTGGTCATATTCTTGATCATGGAATGGCATCTCACAAGTTGCAATTTCACCCATAATAATACCAAAGCTATATACATCAGATTCTTGTGAATTTGGCGTACGCCCAACCAACACCTCAGGAGCTATGTATGGCATGATTCCAAATACTCCTCCTCTATCATTTTCACCAAGAGGTCTAGATAATCCCAAATCTGCAATCTTAACTTTCACGTCGTCATTACTTTCACCAAAAAGCAACAAGTTCCCACTATGAAAGTCAGTGTGCAATAGTCCCACCATGTGAATTTCTCTAAGACCATACGCTATGTTATATAAAAGATTCACCCGTTGTTTCCATGTAAGGTTCAAATGATTTTTTTGAAGGTAATCCCGCAAAGATCCGAAGTTTGAGAATTCCATCACCATGAGATACTCTAAAGTAGTAGGGTCTCGAGTAACCCCTTGAATTTGGAGAATATAATTCCTATCTTTTACATGTGTATGATGAACCACCTATGATAGAAAATTTGGTATAATTATATACAGTTGTAAAAAAAACTTTTAGCAACAATGCAATATAACAAACTACATCTGATGGTGACTATGCACGTAAAATAACTTACTTCATCCATAAATTCATGTTGATTGCTTTCTAAATTAAAGACACTTTTCAAAGCTACTCTAGAGCTTTTTCCTTCTTGTTCATTAAAATAATTTGCAGAATACACTGATCCACAACCACCTTTGACAAGAAACTTTATATCGGAGAGTTGGTCGTAGTTTATCATTTTTAATTCAGTTTCTCCAGCAATCATTTCTTCAATAGTATCATACTTTTGCCACCTATTAGCCGGTTCTGACAAACCCCCATCAAGTTCCATAGTGACATCCAATTCTACATTTTTCCCAATTTCTCTGCCAAGATTTGCAAATTCATCCATTGCACCAAATGCACCAAATCCAGCAATTGCACCAAATCCAAACATTTTAGCTGAGCTACATTGATATAACAAAAGTTTATTAGAATCATTGTATGCAATTAACTATAAAACATTACAATTTAAAAATTCAGGAAAAAAAATAATTTAAACGAGTTGTATAAAATTGACATTACTTGTAATTTTCCAAATTTGATTTATATTTTTAATCTCCTAACGAATGTCGGATTAAACGTCCTTTTATTTGCAATAGTAATAGCAGATATGGTAACTTATTTTGTACGTAAAAAAAGAGTAAATAATAGTACAAAATGGATAATACACAATCCTTTTATTTACAAAAATTAATAAGTGTAACCAACCTGTTAAATGACTTTCAAGTTTGGAAAACAAAAACGGATTATTTTTAATAACATGTATATTATAAGTAAATTAGTAATGAATTATCTTGTTTAACTTACTTTTTAATTCATCAGATACACTAGCATATTGATATCATTGCAAGTCCTTGATTTACTATGTATCACAAATGCAAATATCACTTCCGCAGCCAAAAAAGATAAATCGTAAGGGACTATTTCCATTGCTTATACTAAAGACAAAGCTTTCTGTCATATATTTATATGTATCAAATTTATTATATTACTCCAATTAAGTGGAATATATTCTACTAATTGAACGGAATATTATATTTTAACTACATGAATTTTACTGATATTATCACGTTTTTTATAAATATATACTAATACCATTTTTGAATAGCCGTAGTTTCACAATAGAAAATGCATTTCAATATAATGTGGTACTCATTAGAAAGCTTTAATGGAGTACTTTCATTTTACTCTAACAACAAAGTTCGAGATATTTTAAATGAATGTACGATGAACTTTTCTGATCAATCAAACTTGCAAAAGCATAGTAATCTTTTTATTAATTTCTTGAAATTGTCTTCGCTTCACTTTGAAACATTTTCTTTTAAATTTGAATTTATCCAATTGCTCATTGAATACATCTTTTTCTAAATAGATAGAAGCGTTGGTTTTCCAATATATTTGTAATCATTTAAATTTTAAGAATAATTTTTCAAAGTGATCTTTCAGCGTTGATATCTTGATGAAAATTGATAAATACAATTTTAAATTTTGTTGGGCCCATTCTTTATTTTCCGTTATCAAATTGTTTGGTATTAATAAATAATCCAATAATTCACCCCAAGTTTGTCAGGATTTAGATTATTTAAATTAAAAAAAAAAGATACATTTATAAGGGAATTATTAAACAAAAAATTTCATTAAATTATACATTGTAAGTAAATTAATTGTTAATATTAAATTAAACCAATCGTACACTCACTGGTCATAAATATAAGGACACTTGCAGATCATTGGAAATAATTGAACAAAGAAACATGAAAAAAAAT